AGAGAGAGAAGAGAGAAAAAAAAAAAAAAAAAAAAAAAAAAAAAAAAAAAACACACACACACACACACACACACACACACACACACACACACAACAGGACAAGTTCCTGCTCTCAAGTGTCTTGCTATCTAGGAAAGTAGATAAACAAACAAGCCAACGGTCAGAGAGTTGTGCCAGCGTGTAGCAGGATCTATCCAGGATCTCATGCATGCATACATGTGCCGAGTGACTTTTCCAAGCTGCTGGGGTAGGATTAGAATCGGAGTTGGCCTTGTGGGATCCAGCTCCCTCTGCACAGTGCTTAACCGCCACACTGTGGGGCTGAACTTGTGGCCTTTTTACATAGGCAGGGACTTCAAAAATGAATTAAAGTACAAGTTTATTTTGATGCAAAAGAAAACTGAAATACATGCATAGCTTTCATAACATGCATTTTCCATAAACTTTTTGAAGACACCACCCCTTCATACTTACACGTTTTAAAAGGAGAGGGTAGTGTTTCAGAACACCTCAGACAATCTCCATGCCAGCAGCCCAGGATCCAGGGTTTCTCCTCCCATGAGCCCCAGGGTTCGACCACCTTGACTGATTTCTCCAGCATGTGCTGGCCTCCCTACTCTGGCAGCCCATGTCCCTGATGAGAGGAGTCCTAGGGGCAGAGTTTGTGGACTAGATTCTTCTTAGGAACAAGACACGGTGCAGGCTGCAGTATCAGTGTAAAAATCATGCCACTCTCCATCAGAGGAAGCTGGGGACCGGTTAGGAGAATGAGCTTCACCTTAGATCAAACCCAGCTGTAATGGTGGCAGCCAGGCCCTAGACAATTCAATTCCTCCTCCGTAAATGGGATTCAGAAGAACACCCATCAGGGCAGTAGATGGTTACATTGTGCCCTCTGCTGCCCTGATGGGTGTTCTTCTGAATCCCAGTTACAATGCTGGACTCCTACGTAGTTGATCACGGTTCAAGTCCCGGATCCAGTGGGTTAAAACTCAGGCGAGGGGTGTGTGTGTGTGTGTGTGTGTGTGTGTGTGCTTGCCCAAAATCCCAAGAGAAGAATGGAGTAGAAGGGACTGTGGCATGGCCATCCCTCCCGGGGGGGAGATTTCTTGCTTTCTATCTCTCTGGTGCACGCACTTGCCCTATAGCAAAATTCTTTCTAAAAAAAAATAAATAAATAATGCATTTAGAATAACGCCCAGCAACAAATGAATGCCAAATAAATGCCAGCCTAAAAGGAGACAGCTCCTGTCTGGGGGCCCTGACATGAGGGCATGGGGCCTTGAACAGCACTCTTCTGTCTTCCAAGTTTTCTGAATTGAAAAACATGAAAATTCAGTTGAAAGTGGAGGTTTTCAAACTCTTCAAAGTTGAACTCTGTTGAAGCCTTACTCGGAGCTCATTTGCCTTTCAGAGGTGATCCTGGAGGGCCATCGTTTGAGAACCTTGAACTAGAAAACCTCTCCAGTCCCTTCAAGTGCCATCATGTCTGTGATCTCACACGCCATCTACTCGGGCGCTTTCCATAAAATTAGATAACCCTAGCTGCTTGGGCTTGCTTCCCGCCCTGCTATAAGGCAGATATGTTTCTGGCTCTTTAAGCTCCCTGCATTTGCCACCATTCATGAATGAAACACAAACCCTGACTATCACTGTTGAATACCACAACCCATGTATTTTCTTTTCTTTTAATTGTCAGAGGGTGGATGTGCTTGCCAGAGAGAGAGAGAGAGAAGCAGAGAGAGAGAGAAGAAATGAGAAGGCATCACGCATCGGATGTGACCACACCACAGTCCCTTCTGCATTTCCTCATCTTGCTGGGACTTGGGGTATGTACACACACCCGCCCAGTATGTTTTTCAGGGCACCAGGGCAGGGAATCAAATCATGACCCACTATGTGGGATCTGGCTTCACTTAGCCACTAAGCTATGGGGCTAGCCCAAGGTAGCTTTTTCAACACATAGATTTAAAACGATTAGGTAGACTTTCTAGAACAAACTGAAATTGATCCTAACTGAACTGAGTTGCAGAGGGATCAAAGAGTTAAACTTTAAAATTAAAGTACAGTGGAAAGAAACATGATAGAAACTTTTAAAAATAATCTTGCAGCAGTGAAAAACTTTTCTAAGTATAGCAGGAAATCTGAAAGCCATTAAGGAAAAGATTGATAAATGTCCCTAAATAATAAATTTTCTGCAAAAAGAAAAAAAAATTAAATAAACTTTTCACTGGACTAAAAAAAAAAAAAGATCATTTATTTATTTTAGAGAGAGAGATTTTTGCTATAGGGTGCATGCACTCACTGGAGAAACGGAGAGACAGAGAGACAGAAAGTGAGAAATCACCCCCAGGGGGGATGGCCACACCTCAATCCTTTCTCCTCCATTCTCCTCCTGGGATCTTGGGCACACATACACAGGCATCTGGAGTGAGTTTTAAGCTGCTGGATCCAGGACTTGAACTGTGGTCAACCACGTGGGAGTCCAGTGATGTAACCATTAAGCCATCTGCTGGTCCCAATACATACAATTTTTAAAGTAAGAATGGGTTAATTTTATTATGATAGGCTTCTTATAAATTGGTTTTAAAAAAAGAAAGAAAAAGACCAGGAACCCAATCCATAAATGGATAAGAATCCCAGTTCAGAGAAAGTAAGCACCAACAGCTTTATATTTAAGACCAATGGCCTTTAAACATTTGAAAAGATGTTCAACCTCATTTACAATTAGAACGCAGCAAACCAAAATTATGTAACAAAAATCATTTTTCGACTACCAAGCTGGTGAAGTACAAACATTGTTGAGTACATGCGATCTATAGAACGTATTCCTTGGTGAATATATGTGTGTATTCACGGAAGAGTTCTGAGAAGAACTCACAGAAAGCTGCTTTGGGGTGTTTAAGAAGAGTGAAACTATAGAGGTGGGTGTGGATGTGGTGAGGTCTAAGGGTGGAGGTAAAAGTGAAACTCGCTTTGCATTCTGTACCCTGTTGTGCAGTTTATATATTTTGAACTTTTAGCATGCAAATGTATTACTCATTCTAAATGCACATATTCCTAAGTTAAAATCTCTACTTCAAGACTTACTTCTGTTCATATGCTAGGAAGGATCAAAACTAGATCCAATCCTGTTGAGTACCATTAGATCCACGCTCCTGAAACACACACACACACACACACACACACACACACATATATATATATTATGTTTTTACGATAGGGTGCATGCTGTAGAGAGAGATAGAGAGAAGGAAAGTGAGAAATCACCTCCCAAAAGGGATGGCCACACCACAATCCCTTCTCATCCATTCTTCTCCTGGGATTTTGCACATGCACCCAGCCTGACTTTCAAGCCACCACGTCTGGAATGCAAACTGGTAGTCTGCTGTATGGGAATTTAGTGCCTTAACCACCACGTCACCTGAAAGTCGCCCCTCCTTAAGATTTTTTTATTAGATTTTTTGTTTTTGTTTTTGTTTTTGGTATAGGGCACATGTGCTCACCGGTGAGACAAAGATTTTAGGCGCACACAAACATGTGCCTGGTGTGAGTTTCAAGCCACCAGGTCCAGGACTCAAACCACTGTTGGCCATGTGGGAGTCCTACACCTTAACCACCGCTGGCCCCTCTCCTATTTTAAATCGAGAGCCCAGCCACAGCGGCATGCACTACTAAAAGCTGTGTCCCTCCAGCAGATTGTGTGTCAGTTAAAGCACTGAACTCCATGTGGCTATCTGCATGGTTCAAGTCCTGGGCCTAGCAACTTGAGAATCATACCAGGTGCATGTGCCCCTGTGTCCAAAATCTTGAAAGAAGAATGGAGGAGAAGGGATTGCAGCATGATTATCTCCTCTGGAAGGTGATTTCTCAGTTTCTCTCTCTTTCTCTCTCTCTCTCTCTCCTCTTTCTCTCTCTGGTGAATGCACATACCCTATAACAACAAAAACAAACTATTTAAAAAAAAAAAAAAAAAAAAAACAAAAGCTGTGCTCCACAGCTGAGACAACATGGGAGGCCCTGATTCAAGCCCTGGTCTAACCTAAAGGCCAGGTCAGTGGAGCCTGGACCCTGGCATGCACCTATAATCTTAGCTACTCAAGAAGCTGAGGTAGGAGGCTTGCTAGCTGGAGGTTGGCTTGGATAAACAGTACCACCCTGTCTGAAAAGAGATCTGGAATGCTGGAATGCAAGGAAGGAGGATCACAGTACAGAAAGACCTTGTCAAAAAAGAAGTGTTTTTAATCTAAGTTATTCCTATTAAAATCTCATTTTACAAAATAAAACTAACCAGTCAAATAAAAGCAGGGCCTCCTTTTTTCTCCTCCACAATTATTTTTTTCCTAATGGTAATAATACTTACTGTAATCATCTTAGAAAATACAGAAAAGAGGGGCCGGCAGGTGGCATAGTAGTTGAAGCACTGGACTCCCACACGGCCAACTGTGGTTCATGGTCCTGGACCCAGAGGCTTGAAACTCATGCTGAGCATGTGCGCGTGCGTGCCCAAAATCCCAAGAGGAGAATGGAAGAGAAGGGATTGCAGAGTGGCCAACTCCCATGGGGGATAGTTTCTCACTTTCTCTCTCGCTGTCTCTCTGGAAAATACACTTGCCCTATAGCAAAAAATCTCTTTAAAAAAGAAAGAAAGAAAAAGAGAAAGAAGAAAGAAAGAAAGAAAGAAAAGAAAAGAAAAGAAAGAGAGAAAGAAAGAAAGAGAGAGAGAGAAAGAAAGAAAGAAAGAAAAGAAAAGAAAAGAAAGAGAGAAAGAAAGAAAGAGAGAGAGAGAAAGAAAGAAAGAAAGAAAGGAAAGAGAAAGAAAGAAAGGAAGGAAGAAAATACTGGTAAAAAAGGAAAATAAAAATTATGTAAAATTCCACCATCCAATATAAACAGTAATATTTTACTCTTTTCTACCAAATATTTTATGCATATATATTTTCTTTTTTTTCAATTTTTAAAGAATGATCTATGTAATTTTTTATTTTTGTATTTTTTTAACTTGCTATAAGGCATGTGCACTCAGTAGCCGGCTCATCTCACTCATTACCTCTGCAACAACGTGATGATTTTTCTTTGGCCAATTTTGCCATCAAATCACAATTGACACATAAAAGGGAAAAGACCCGATGAGACTTTTTTTTCTGGCCCTGAAAAGCATTTCCCAGGACATACGACAGCATGATATTCGATCTTTGGTTTCCATTTTGGTCACACTTCCCTCTAGGCACAGCACCCAGGGAGCAATCACTTGCTAGGATGAATGATGACACCGACACCATTAACTAGCATCGTCTTCAGGGCACGTTTCCTGTTTATGAGAGCTAGACTCACTGCATGAACGAGGCAAAAACTTTGTTAGGTTAATGTATTTTAAATAAAATTTTGTTGTATTTTTCTGTTCCGAAGAGGGTGAGAAAAGGGGGAGGGGAATATATATACATACATACATATAGGTGTATATATGTATGTGTATATATATGAAACTAGAAATGGAAAATTAGTGATGATAACATGTATGATTAAGCTACTGTGCAGCATCTTCTGGATGGGAAATTATATTTTGTATGCTGTGACAATGCTTAGTGAATCAATGTAAATTAATTAATTAAAAAAATAAGAAAGAAAAAAAGAAAAAGGAAGAAAAAAGGAAAAAAAAGGAAAAAAAATTAAAAGTAAAACTTGTTCTGCAGAGAAAGTGTAGAAAAGTATAAAGGGAAAATAAAAATCACTTAAAATCTTTATGAGGCCACCAGATGGTACAGAGATTAAGGGGACTGGATCCCACAAGGCCGATTGTGTGATTCAAGTCACACCTAGACAGCTTGAAAAGTATGCTGGGTGCATGTGAGTGTGTGTCCGGAATCCCGAGAGGAGAGAATGGAAGAGACGGGATTAGGGCATGGCCATTGTCCCTAGGGGTGATTTTTCACTTTCTCTATCTAGCAAACACATGTGCCCTATAGCAAATTTAAAAAAAGAAAAAGGAAAAAAAAAAAAAAACCTTGTCATTTAAGAATAATTTGTTGTCACATTTGGTGATTTTCCTCCCAATCTGATTCACATATACAGCATATATATAAAAATAAATGTGAATGTTCTGCCATGCAATATATGTTATAAATAGCTGTTAAATAATAAATTTACATAAATATATTTACATTATATAATATAGAAATATATTAATATATTAATATTTTATATAATAAAATATACTTCACAGTATTTAACTATAAATAAATATTTATATTATGATACATGTTTACATCCATGTAAACATAAAAAAATTATCTTATTTTACTACCTCCAAAGAAATTGCTATTACAGTTTCATTTATGATTGTGAATTATTTATTACTAGATAGAAATAAGCTAGTAACACAGTAAGCCTCAGATTTCAGCATCTTACTCAAGAGCTTCAATAACATACTCTATAAAGATTTAGATTTTATTCAAATTAAAGTTGGAATGTAGTGAAGAAGTTCAACAAGTAAAGACATATAATCGCAATATTTTTAAAGTTTAAAATGATAGGAAATTGTAAATGAGCAAGAAACCAAAACCACAAAAACAAGAATTTTCTAAAAGCTCCACCACACTGGAGAGCAGGTCAGAGCATTACAAAGTGCTAGAATCTGGGTTAAAATCTTGTTTGTTTTTCTACAGGGCACATGCACTTGCCAGAGAGAGACGGAAAGAGAGAGGAAAAGTGAGAAATCACCCTCCAGAGGAGATGGCCACACTACAATCCCTTCTCCTCCATTTTCCTCTCAGGTTTTGGGCACACAAACACACACACACACAGAGCTTGACTCACAAACCACAGGGTCCAGGACTCAAATCCCGAAGATAGCCATGTGGGATCTGCCACCTTAACCTTCACACCACCTGCTGACCCCAGATTAAAACCTTAGCATCTCTAGGCCCAGCAGTGGTGGCACAGATGGTAGCAAACTGACTGGTGCAGTGCTAGAACTCACACTGCCGCTCCTAGGTTCAGGTCCTGAGTTGACCTGAAGCACACTGGGTACACAAGTCCAGGATCCCAACTAGCTGGAGGACTGCGGCAAGTGGGTCACGGTGTGAGGAAACCCTGCTGAGGGTGCTTCTCTCTGTCTGTCTTACATTCTTATGCATGTACTCTCTTCCTCTCAGGAAAGAAAGAAACGATAAGATCTCAACATCTCATCCCAGAGTCCCAACCCTACCGTTATCTTACATGCCACAATTTAACTATACATATATTTCATCAGTCACAAATATTCACTCTATCAAGCACCTAGCAGCATCCTCGCTCCCCCAGTGATCTGGATAACTACTTCGAAGCTGGGGGAGGGGACGGGAATAAAACAAAACTTACATTAACCTAAGACCAAAATCTGCTTCTCATTTTAAATTTGAGAGTATCTAAAAGCTCCTTTTGGGCTCAAACCCCTAGACTGGGGCCTCCACCAGAACCTGACCAACATCCACTCAGCACATCAACACTGTCCACAGCAGGGCCCTCAGCCAGGGTGTTCGTACAACCAAGTAAATTTGTTCAAACCTCAACATATAACTAAACTCATAATATTCAAGCTGAATGAAATTTATGACTTCATCTATAAATACTTAACCTTGCACAGATCTCTGATGTCTCCATCTGTGTTTCCCATAGTATTCTCTGAATTGTGTTTTTCTTTTAGTTTAGTTTTTGTCATTGGGCGCATGCGCTCACCAGCGACAGAGCGAAACTAAGTGAAAAATCACTCCCTGGGAGGAAGGCCATGTTGCAATTTCTTCTCCTCCATTCTCTTCACAAGATCTTGGGCACAAATGTACAAGCACCCAGTGTGATGTTCAAGCCAGGCCTGTTCTATAGCTTTCTAATTTCTCAAAAACAAAACAAAACAAGAAAACAAATAAGGCAGCACACACAGGCGTACCCAGGATCCTATGGACTTGAGGACTCAATAAAGGGACTCTCAACCTGATCAGACCCTGGGGAGGTGCTCTTCTCCCTCTCGCCCTCTCTCACACAAACATGCATGTGCACACATACTTTATCATAAAGAAAATCTTAACTTTTAAAAACATTAATAAATAAATAACCGATTTACTAATACAGTGTAAGTGTCTCCATGTGTGTCTGTCAATGAGTGACTGTGCTGGTGGGTAGGGGTGTGGTTGGTGGGAGCAGCCGTGGCAGCAATGCCTGTTGAGATTTAAATCTCGGCTTTTATTTTTTGACAAATTTAGCCGGGACAAGGATGAGTCCCTTGTATCAACAGCCATACTTGGGGCACCATCAATCTAACCTGGAGGGGCCTTGAAATCCACCAGCCTCAAACCCGCGGCAAGGCTCTCATTGGAACTACCAAGTTCTAGGCTAACATTCAGATACAAGGATCATCTGCTTGGCCCTGAGGCAACCGGAATCTACTCCAGCAGCCTAGAAAATTCTAGATTCAAAGGCTTTCTTCTCCAAAGGCCCAGATGATCTTACCAAAGAGGAAAATCCCAGAGCACTCACAATGGCAGCACCGTCTTCACAGGCCTCTTCTCTCCCGCGGTCTGCAGCAAGATGAGAGCCAAGTACAGAACGGAAGAAGGCTCACCCGCTGTACTTCCTGTTTTGTAAACTCTCACGTCATACCCATTGGAGGAGGAGGATGGCCTGAAGAGTCTGAGCTGCAGCGACTCCTTCTGCAGTTGCCATGCAGATTTTCAGTCACTGCCCTCAAGAACTGAACCGGGGAATCCAATCAGGGCCGAGCGCGCCTTTTTGGTCTGGAGCCTGGCCAGCTCAGCTCAGCTTATCCAAAGCTGCATGACATTGGATGAGTCACTTTGTTTGGGCCCCATTTCTACATTCCAAGTAAGTGACCGGACTGGATGTTAACTGGGAACACTTTCTTTTAATATTTCAAGATTTTTAAGGATTCTTCTGGGCTCATCATTAAAACTTTTTTTTTTCATTCATTAAATATATTGATTAAACATCTCCAAGAGGCCTTGAAAGCTGGACACTGCAACGTACCAAGGCCCTCAGGATGCCTGCTAACTAACCCCCACAGCTCACTCTCATGGTGTATCAGAGGACAATTTCCGTGGCCCCAATATTGTCAGATCCCATCCCACCCTAACAATGTAAAAAACACTACACTCAAAGGCCTTCCTCCTAAAGGCCAAGCTTGGCCCTGAGGATAGAGCGATGAATGAAACTCACATAACCCTCTACCTTCGTGCTGTGAGTCACTTGCAGTATTTTCTAATGTTGAAATCAAGCACCTCTGTTTGAAATTGCCTTTTGCCTTTCCCCAAATGGAATAGAAACTTAAAATAAAACACATCTTAGAGCTGAGGGGACTGGGTGGGGTGCCTGAAAGTGCCTCTTCCACCCACAGGACTGGGGAAAGGGGATCTCATAATAGTGATGTCCTTAGCTAACATTGGGCTCTGCCCAGTGAAGTCCGAGCAAGAATATAACAATAGAAGAAATTTCATTAGTGGCTAAATCCACCCCAGGGTGTGTCCCCTGATTTCTGATGCTTCCCCAGCATTAAGCACAGCCTCCAACCCAGATTTGTCCCACCACATGTGACCATTTCCCATCCAGGCTGTGAGCTTCGTGAGGGTAGGGAGTACATCTTTCCTAACTGTGTCCCTGGGACTGGAAAGCAGCAAAGAACCTAAGAAGATTGCCTTTGAATCAACAAGAAAAAGAAACTGTAGAGAGGCCATGGATATGAACGTAGAGTTCCCTGGGGATACTCAGATAGCTAAGGTGTCAGAAGGGATCTCAAACACATTGGTAACCTGAAAACCCAAAAGAAAGCAATGAGACACCCACTTTATAACGATCAGATTGCCAAGGGTTTGCAAGTTAAATCAGGCCAGAGATTGGCAGGCAGGTCGGGCCATGCAAGCAAGCTAGTGGGACTTGGTCTGATCAAGTGTCCTCATATGCCCGGCCAGCAGCCATCTGGACCTTGTATATTCTTGGACAAAATTTGTGGAGACAGTGCATCATGTAACATATGTAGTGGTTAGGGACTGGGATCTGGCAAGTAGATAGAACTTGAAGAGCAAGGACTGGGCCAGCAAGTGTCATGATGGCGAAGGCTTTGGACTCCCACATGGCCAACTATAGTTCAAGTCCCAGACCCCCAGCTTGAAAATCATGCCTGGCACATGTGCGTGTGTGCCCAAAATCTCAAGAGGAGACTGGAGGAGGAGGGATTGGGGTGTGGTCATCCCTGTGGTGTGGTCATCCCCCTGAGGTGGGGGGATTTCTCACTTTCCCTCTCACTGCCTCTCTCCATCTGGTGATTGCATGTACCTTATAACAAACATCTCTAAATAATAATAATAATAAATAAAACTTAGAAAAAGAACAAGTGCTTACTTCAAACAAATAAAAAAAGTAAAAAACAATAAACAAAATAAAACACAAATACTATGACAGTAATTGCTAACATTTACCAGCTACTTAGTCGTGTCAGTCACTGTTACCAGTGGTCTATCTCTTTCAATCCCCACAAGATAGTATTGATCCCATATAATGATAAAGAAAGAGGAGTATAGAAAAAATGACCTGCCCCAGGTCATGTAGATAAAAAATAATGGGACTGGCTAGTGGAGTGATGGTTAAGGTGGCTGAATCTCACATGGCCCATGGCTTGGTTCAAATCCTGGACCAAGTGGCTTGAAAAACATGCCAGGCAGAAACACTGTCAGACATAGGGTGTGCGTGTGTGCCCATAATCTCAAAAGGAGGAGAAGGGATTTGGGAGTGTCTATCCTCCATGGGGATGCTTTCTTACTTTGTCTTTCTGTCTCTCTTGAGTGAGCACACATGCCCTCTTGCAAATTTTTAAAAGATAATCATCAATGTACACACACAAAACAAAAATACACTCTGCAAAGATACTGAGAAATTCAGAGATACAGACCAAAAGTGTTAGAGAGCTGCCTTTGGGAAGAAAGGGAGGGAGATAGGGAGTGGGGATGAGAGAGGATGTAACAGCACTTAAAACAAGGGACAGGAGGCCTGAATTGTGGGCAGAGGGGACAAGGACTCCTGGACGTGGTGATCTAATCAAATGATTAACTCAGCCCTCTGCCCCAGAGCCAAATGGAAAATAAAACATAAGTTGAAAAATAAAGCTCTGGAATCTCCACTTGGCTTCCCAGGTGAGCCAGGGTGGTGCCTATAAATGAGTCGGGGAGACCCTGAGTTCCGTTCAAAACTCCCAAAGAGAGAAGGAACTAGAGATTGAGTCCTCAGAGTAAAAAAGTAGCCAGGAGGGTGGCTGTGATTCCAAGACACACCAGAATATAGGGGCCTGCCTAGCAAGTCAGGCAGCCTCTGACGCGAATAGTGTGGGGTCTTAGTTTCCTGTAGAAGGCACCTCTTCACCAGCACTCACCTGCTCTCCCTTCCCCAGCACCATCACCGGCTCGGATCCCCTAAACTGCCTAACGCCACTCTAGAGAAAGGGCGGCAGAGTGTGGATGGAAGCGGGGAAGGCAGGGAGACCAGGAAGGGGCTCTCTTCTCCTGCAGATCCGCGCTCCTCTGCCGCCCTCAGCAGACGCACTTCCTGTTGCTGGTCTTCACGTTGCAGCACTCGCTAGCGAATTCAGCCAGGCTTTTAAACAGCCACAAGAGATAAAAAGGACTTGTGAAAACACCTCCTACTGCAGAGGGGTAGAATCTGGTCTTCGGCAAGAGAGGAAGGGAGATTCGACACAGAAACTAAAGTCAACCTCATTCCTAAAATAGGAGCGCAGGATGATTCAGAGGAACAGGAATTTTTCATATTTAAAGGCACCGAGGCCCAATTTCCCGCCGTTCAGGAGAGGACAGAGAATTCTTCGACTTGCAAACCCAAAACCAGAGCACTGGATGTGCTTGATTGGAAAGTGCGAAAGGTCTCTCAAAAGATTTATGGAAAATGGAATTAAAGGACAAGTTTATTTTGGTGCAAAAATTTTCTTTGAAATCATGCCTAGTTTTTCCTTATAAGCACATTTCTTTTACTATGTTTTTACATTCATTCCCTATATATCAGTACATCACAGAAGATGAATTTTCCCAATATGAATACAGTGTATGTTACTCCTATCAAAGATCTTACCATGTACATTATCACCAACATATAAATTTCCATTTTTGTGTCCCTTAAATGATTTGCTTCTTTCTTCCTCTCCTTGATTCCTGCCCTCCCACTCTCCGCCTACGGTGAGCAGTTAGCTAGTAATGAGCAGGCAGCCCTGAGAGAAGAGTAGAAGGACCCATGTCACATCAATCACAATTTATCAGGAATTACAACCAGACCCTCCATGAATGCCTTCCTCCCACCCAGCTCCTGGCACCTTTTCTTCCTAGGTACCTGAGGAAGACACAGAGGGATGACTGTAAAGTTCCCTCTTATCATTCCTCATGAATATAACAAGATCCAACCAGATATTTTAGTCAATATCCTGATTCCCACTGGGGCAATAAACTAATTGGGCAGTCTATCCTAATTACGATGCTCCTAAGGGCAAGGCTCACAGGGGCATGTGCAGTCAGGTAATCAAATTCCTCAAATTCTTCACCTTGAGAGAGCTGCAAAAAGCCTTGAATTCAAACAAAAGACATGGGTAATATGACAGACCTCCCACTGTTGAATATTCATGATCACCTCTGGTAATAAAAATAACACCTAACCAGTTCCAAACACAGCTGCTGCCTAGCCACCTGCCCTCCCAGATGTTTTTCTGGGTGTACTTCTTTTCTAAAATCTGTCTTTCCTATTAAATTCTCTTTTCTACCTACTTTTATTGTGGCTTTATTTTGCGCCTAGGGACAGCTCTCTAATTTTAGCAATCTGAACCCAAAGAACCAAGGATTTTACACAACACAGCTCGACACTCTCCCATCTATGACAATTTTTGACGCCAGGACTCGAATCGTGCTTTCAGATGCTTTCCAGACCGGTCTCTCCCGGCTGCAACCAAGTCCTCCGCTCACACATCAGACAAGGCCAGTGAGTACAAACCACGCGTGCTTCACCGGGCTCTCCGCTGTCACTAGCTCTAACTTCTGGCCACATTTTCTTCCGGGTCTTGGATTTCTGGAGTCCTGGGTTCCCCATCTCCTTCTCTGCCCTCTGTTTTTTCGAATCTACAAATTTGGGGTACATAGTTTACTAACAAGAATTTTTCAGATTTTTTTCCCCCATTGTCCTTAATGCATTTTTTTTGTAGGTGATATTTTGCCTCTTTAGGTGCCTTTTCATGCTGGTGAGTGCAAGGAAGAGGTTTAAACCCCTGATAAGTCGCACACAACACTGGAAATGAGTCAGGGGAGAGGTTTTAACTTCTTTCAGATCTCCCAGGAAGAAGATTGGAGACGTTCTCAGAAGAACTCTCTCAGAAATGGTCCCAGGTTTTTGGGACAGGGTATTTAGAGGCTCACGGGCCCTCAGATAGATGCGCTAACTCCCAGGGTACGAGAGACATCTCCCTCCATTCTCTTCACTCCAGTGGGCTAGCACAATCCGCTGGAGGTTTGTTACCTGGAACGGCTCTGCAGGGATGCCTCAAGCCTTCCTAGGCTTGCCACCAAATTCTATTCCTTTTTCTTTCTTCCCTCCTTCTAGATGGGAAATCTGTCTTGTATTCAGAGAGACTCCATCACTGGGACCAGTTTGACCCTCAATCTCTCAGGAGGAGGCTCATCTGCCTTTGTAATACTGCATGGCTACAATACAAGATGCCAGAGGGAATAATTTGGCCAGTGAAGGGGACCTTGGATTATCATTCCATTATCCAATTAGATAATTTATGTCGAAACCAGGGGAAGTGGACTGAGGTGCCAGATGTTCAGGCCCTTAGTTCTAACCCAAAGCTTCGTGCAGTTTATCACTTGCTCCTCCACCCATCCAAACTGTTCCTTCCTCACCTTTCCCAGAGACAGTGAAACAGGACGTAAAACCTGAGCTTACAACTCTGACCCCGGATTCCTTCCCTCTGTACCCAGGTCACCTTAAATCTCCAGAACCCATTTGCCCACTTCAGGCAGTGGCCAGTCCAAATGGAAACCCCATCAGAATTCATGTTCCATTTACCATGAACGATTTCTGTCAAATACAAAAGGATCTTGGAAGTTTTTCAAAGGATCCCAATAAATATTTGGAGGGATTTCTCAGAGTGGCCCTCTCCTTAAGGTGGAGAGATGTAACTATCATTTTCCACCAAAGTCACTAAAACTGAAAGGGATAAAAGTGGGGAAGCTGCTATCCAATTTGGGGATTCATTACAGAGTAAATGAGGGTACCTTATAGGAAATATAGCAGTCCTAGCTCCAGATCCTAACTGAGACTACAGCTACCCAGGAGGGATTTGGCAGAGAGATCATGTGATCTTGTGTCTCATAGAGGGCCTAAAAGCAAGTAGAGTACAACCTATAAACTGTAACAAATTGGCTACAGTTGATCGGTTGATCGAGGGTCTCAGGAAAATCCCACAGCCTTCTTTAAGCATTTAAAGGGGGCTCTTATTAAGTATACTACTATTGACCCTGATTCAGAGGGAAAACTGCTTCTCGATGATAAATTTATTAACCGGGCAACCCGGGTATCTGTAGGAAACTCCAAAAGCTATCACTAGGACCTGGCACCTCCTCAGCAGAACTTCTGCAAATGGACTCTTCGGTCTTTTACAACCGAGACCTAGAGAAAGAGGACAGGATTAAGGCAAAGGAAAAGTGGAAGGAAAACAGGCAGACTCAATACTGCTTTGGTTGGGCAAAAGTCACCTCCTGGTTGCCCTAGGAAATCCCTAATGACCTGCGATCACTGTCAGAAGCCTGACACAAGAAGAAGAACTGCTATCTACTTAAGCCTCCGTGAAAGCCTTGCCCCAAATGTGGTCAACCTGGCCACTGGGCCAGGGACTACGCCAAGAGCTCTGGGACCCCTGGGTTGGACCCTGAAGAGGCCTTGACAGTGACCCTCCCATGAGGATGCCCTCCGCTCCAGTCGGCTCTCACGACAGCCATCAAATCATGGGATCAGAGCCCAGGGCAACCTTGGACACGGCAGGTAGGGCCCATACCTTCCTTATTGACGCAGGAGCCACCTACTCAGTATTTACCACTTATGCCAGAGTCCCTGCTCTTTGTCTCACTGTGGAGGTATCAGGTAAACTTGCTCATTGCCCTATAACCCCAGCTCTTTGCTGTACTTGGGAAGACATAATGTTCTCCCATCAATTCCTGATTATACCTCAATTCCCTACTCCCCTTATGGGTAGGGATATCCTTAGTAAGCGAGGTGCTTAATAATCACTGAGACCTATCATGTCAGCCTTTTTAGCACTGTTATTAGACCCTGATCCTGAAATATCTCAACAAAATAACCTCATTCAGGAAGTCAATCCAGAGGTCTGGGCGAGAGAGAGACACCGGGAAGGGCAAAAACAGCTATCCCCATTAAAATCAGACTTAAGAATCTTAACACCTTCCCACAGGAAAAAAACAAACAAACAAACAAACAAAAAAGCACTTAAACCTGAGGCCATTCAAGAGCTTCAGCCAGTAATTACTAGACTCCTATAGGCTAGCGCTTTAACCCCCTGTGAGTCACCCTATAACTCTCCCATTCTAGCAGTAAAAAATCCAGGGGAGAATATCACCTCGGCCAGGACCTCAGAGCTATAAACGCAGCCATTCCCATTCACCCGACGGTGCCAACCTCTTACACTATTCGGAGAGAGGTACCTCCAAATTCTCATTGGTTTTCAATTTTAGATCTTAAGGATGCTTTCTTCTACATTCCAGCAGGTAAAGATTCCCAATTCTTGTTTGCTTTTGAGTAGAGAGAGAAGGGGGGCACCTCAACAATTAGCATGAATAATGCTCCCCCCCGGTAGGTTATAACTGTAAAATGTATTTCTAGTACAAAAGGTTAAAAGGAAAGGTTTTTGTACAGAAGGAATTTTACATGGTCAAGTTTTTGTCTTACAATAGAATGACTAGATTATCTCGAAACAAAAGATAAGAAGGTAAAAAACCTAAAAGGTCTAAAGTATGCTGTTGAAGGTTTGAGTTATGTTACAAGAATCTGAGAAGAGTTACAAAGATTAATCAAGTTAATATTCTAAAGCTAATTGTACTAATGTGATACCACCAATCATAAGTCAGGTAGTTATCCTTAAATACTATATACAGTAAAACAACTAGATTTGTCTGTTATCACTGTTTTCAGTTTTGTCGTTCACAGTTTCAAATTTACTTCCCATGGGGGGGAAAAATCCTCTAACAAGAACTTAGAACATTTTAACTCATCCCAACACGGAAAACACCCATCATGGACTCCAGTTACAGCAGCTAAGTTTGCCTCCCAGGGTGTGACTATTAGTGGAACTCGAGTCTCTACTATATTCCAGGGTGGCTCTATATGAGCTAGGAATAAGATTATAAGGTGAGAATCTCTCTTGTTCACTATTAAGTTCTGGGCCAAACTTAGTCCCTCCCAGGGAGCGTACTGGCTCTGTGGGCATCGGGCTTATTGAGTCCTCCCACCAGGCTAGAAAGACCTGTGTTCATCGGGCTATATAATCCCTAATATTAAAATGACATGGGGAGACACCTCCCTGTCAATTCCTCTCAGGGCTAATACTAGACTATCCAAACGAGCAGGACCCCTGATTCCCTTGAGCATTGCCCT